ATGGACGGAATAGCGCCTTTATTGAGTACTTTTTTTTTGGTTAGAGTTTTCTTTATATCTGATGGTCTAAAATGCTGAGAACAAACTCTTGTGCTGTTGGTAATCTGAAAATATAATAATAACGCAACGAATGTAAACAACGCTCGAACTGGGGTCAAAGGTCAAAAGAAATTCACTTTACCTGGAATGATTTCCCGATATCGCGCTTAATTTTTGCAATCCATTCGCGTCTCAAGGCTTTCTCTTTCGGAAATTGATGAAAAGTGATATTAGACTGTGCTTTAGACCTATTATTTTGACACAAAGGAACACAACAGTGATCTTTGTTCGGCATGATTTGCATCATCAAGCGTGACAAGTCCCACGCGTAACCTCGTTTTCATGCTAAAACCTATGACGTAAATCCAAGATGGCGACACCGTGATAAAGGCGAATTGGTCTTTAAATATATACTGACCTTGTTACCTTGAAAATCTAATTTCTAAATGGAAGGCAATTACGAGTAAATATGGAATGACTCTCGTATAAAATTTTAATGATCAGGAAGTTAAAGTATTATCAATAAAGCTCTTAAGTTGATATCCCAAATCATATTATATAATTTTTTTGTTTTGTTTTAGAATGCTGAATCTATAAATATCATGATTGCTATCCCTATGATTTTGTTCCTGAATTAATTAAATGATCTATACGGATAACGTGATATCTTTCTAATATCAAAATGTATTAGTTATACTGAAATTTTCCTCTTCAACAGCTGCGTTTTGATTACACATGAAAAAAAAAACATCTAACAAGCGACATGGATCAAAGGTAAAGGCCGTGTCACACTGGCGTTTTTTTCGTGCAACTTGTGTCGCGCAAAAAAATGTTGAAGTTGCACGATGCCATGTCACACTAGCAAAATTCCGTTGCAACTTAGCTCGCACAAAAAAATGTTCAAGTTGCACGCGTAAATTGAAAATGTACGATCATCTCACTTTCTGTCTCGTTTTCTTCTTCAAAATTATCACTTTCGCCAAAGATGGCGTCGGGCATCTTTGTTGATTATTACAACAAGTGACAACAGGACAGATTCTCGCTTTATTATGGGTTCGTGCGCCTAATTGAAAAATTTGGAAGTTGCAAGAGACCATGTCACACACGCGTTTTTCCGAAAAATGTTGAAAAAAGTAGAAGCCAGTTCTACTTTTCTCTCAACAAAAAAATGAAATGTTCAAGTTGCATGAGGGGGTGTCACACGTAAAAAAACGCTCGTGCAACTTCAACATTTTTTTGCGCGACACAAGTTGCACGAAAAAAACGCCAGTGTGACACGGCCTTAAAGGTGGAACATGACACACTTATGAAATATAAAAATGAACTGATGTAAGGCAATAAGTAATTAGTATTAATGATAGGATGCAGCTAAGGTTAGTTTGTCCACAATCTCACGGTCATCATTGAAAAGTCTCTATTTTAGTTTGCCATTTTCTTTTATGCATAAGGCCTCCTCCTCAGTTGTCTCTTGATCGTTTTGTAACCTGTTTTCTGATAGGACTCTTATGGAACTGCGTCACCCATGAAGATCGAAATACAGAGTCTCCTGTGAAGGATACTACAGTACTTACTCGCTTATAAGAACCCATCTTGTTTAAATTTAGACCAAACGGGTTCTTATATAAATGGTGCTTAGTAGTGGAATTTTAGGCTACGCAGTTTCTTAAATGTAGGTTCTTATTTATCCCTCATGTAATGAAAATTTTTAAGCTTTTTAAACATCATTTATGCCAAAATTATAGAGGATATTACATGGGCGCTAGGAGATACGGATTTTATCTTCGAGTGTTGAAAAGATCTCTCACGAGTGATTTCGTATCTCCAAGCGACCATGTAATATTCTATTTATCATATAATTACATATGAAAGCAAATTATGTCGTAAAATATATTTTTTCCAACTTTTACTATATCGAGAAACCTCGAATGTGTTATTTTCACTAGTGAAAATATCAATTTTACGTAATGGAGAAATATAGGTATTTCATAGATAATTATATGATAAAGAAGTGTATTACATGTTCAAGTTCACTACAGTTTGAGTTTTTTTTGCATAAAAATCTTTTTAGGTTGATTGCTGTAAGAATTTATCTATAAGAAACTGGTTCTTAAAAACGGGTTAGTGCTGTACTCTAATATGTAGGTTTAATTTTCATGGACGCCCTTTTGATGTTTTGGTTTGAAAGGGTATTCCAATGCATATTGCTACTGGTTAATACCGCTGAGGCGCACCAATTGAACCACCATCCACAACCAACAGCACAATTTCCCGCGCTGTACTTGTCATTATCCCGATCTGGAGTACTAAAAGCCATACCGTTCGACCTATGTGGTGCATGTGTTGGATGATGAATTGCATCACCAGCTGTGCCTGAGTACCCCGAGACGTCTAAGCGATACAAATTGCTCTCACTCTTTACGTTGAACGACGAATACTTGGCATAGCTGCGAAGTCCGTTGGTGTCTTCCAATTCAATGTATACCTGTGTTGGTTTGGCTGCGGTTAAGCGATGAATAAAGTCATTTCCAAGCCAGAATTCACCAGTTTTCATTACTCCAAAACCTTTCTTGTATTCTTTCCAGACGCGGTTAAAACTGACCGACGCGTCAAAGCGCTTGTGGATGACAACCCATCCACCCCCATTAGTTTTCATGTCGCAAAGGACGG